AGGTATTAGACCAACAGGTTTATTTGAAATCACAAGCATTTGAAGCGCTGCTCCTCCAACAAATGTAGCGACTTCACCTGACAAAGTAGTAGCGGTCTGAAAGCTTGTGATTTCAGGTAAACCTGGTGTCATGTGACTTCTGACTCGTGAAAAAGGTTTAGGATAGCATGACCAGAAGGTCTTCAGATTGTGGCGCCATAGCTGGTCTGGCCATGGGCTGGGTGACCAGTCAGGAAAAATGCCAGGCTCTGTCTCCTAGAGCTGTTCAGCCTCCCTGATCTCAATGGGCTTCTTGGAGATCACTGGCAATACCATTAGCTTTGATCCTGCCAGATCATTGCTGAGGAGCAGTTCGATCCTGTCCAGAGGCAGTGTACAACAATTCCCAAACTCACTGACACTGACACAAAGTTGCAATCCAATGCACCTGGTAAAGGGAATAAGCATTTTCCTCCTTCAACCCCTTTTCCCAGCACCTTGCCATTCGTTACACTCTCTGGTCGGAAGGCTTTGCCTTTTCCCAGAATTAGAATTTAACTGGCCCCTGGTATCCCTCAGTATCACTACAGGCTCATTCACCTCATGCAAGGGAAGGGTAGCTACCCTTCCTGTAGATAGGTAGTTCTGAGGGATTTGTTTAACAATGTCTACACTCTTAGGAGTGATTTTACAGAGGTAAAATTACAGTGTATTCAGAGCTGAAGAGCCTCAGGGTATTGCTGAATCTTTTTATTGTTCATGGGGCACAAACTTCAAATCCTCAAAAGTGGCTTCCCTTAATTCTGCTGGGAATGCACTGGAATCAAAGGAGGATGTTTGTATGCTGCAGTGATGTAAACTTGAGACAGACTTTTGAAGTTCTTTCTCCTACAAAAGTCGGTTTTGAAGTAACAATGTTCTCCATTCTAATTTTTTTTTTGTTTCATCTGTGGGTTAGAAACATGGACAAGAGCCCATAATTTGTTCTGACCATCCATGGCTGAGGTTCCCCAATTTTTCTAAGGTTCCACATAGGACACTGTGAAACATTAAGTTCCTGGGTGAAGAATGGTGAACAGGCTCCCCTGCGGTATTCATCCAACCTCTTGGTTGACTTCAAATGGTTAATTTTAAAAGGATCCCTTCCTTTGCAGATAACTTTCTCCCAGACCCAAATTACTTTATGTTTCAAAAGGGAACAACTCAACCAGGGCTTTTTGAACTAACAAAAAGAGTGAGCTTATTAACTACTAAATTTGAGAAGAAAGAGTAACACAATGCACATACGCACAGATTAGAAATCAGAGGGGAGTCAATAAAGTTATAGGTTACAAAAAAAAACAGATTAATTCCTGAGGAGCAGGAAAGCTGACGTTTCAGGTCGGGACCCTTCTTCAGAAAAGCAGGGTTGGCATTTTCTGAAGAAGGGTCCAGACCCGAAACATCAGCTTTCCTGTTCCTCTGATGCTGCCTGGCCTGCTGTGTTCCTCCAGCTCCACACCTTGTTATTTCAGACTCCAGCATTGGCAGTTCCTACTATCTCAGATTAATTCCTGAATTGTTTGTGAAGAGTGGATAGTTGAATGTTGCATTTGTCACAGTGCATGTCACCAGTAGCATTGATATTGGTGTCCAACTTTGAGACTCTTGGCTTTGTAATTTGGCATTGGCTGACTGGCAATATCTAGAATGAAAGATTGTATATTTGTCTATCTGTTTTGCAGTGCAGGGCTGTGTGAATGCCTGCTCTCGAGCTGTGGCCATTACAGCACACTAATTCAAATACTAGGGTGCCAGGACACTAACACAAACAGACCAGGGCATAAATTCACTTTAAACCCTTATTTCTTTGCATTTCTGAAAGTGCTAAAAATACAAATATGCCTCTCACCTAGACGCCTGCCCTTTTTAATGATCATATTGAGTCCGTGATATTCTGAGGAGTTTACAAGTTAAGTTAATGTGCACTTTTACCCTTTAAAACTTCTTATGCATCTCGTTAGGTGAGTCATTCCTAGATATCATTCTCCAGGCAGCCATTGAATTCACATCTGCTGTCAACTTTTGGCTGCAAACTTTTTTTTTCAAATTAAAGAAAAGGATTTTTTTTAGTCCAGTATTCAAGTATATCTATCAGTGATCCAAAGTTATGACTTATGATCATGACCATGCAATCAGTTGCTTGGCAATAAGATTCTGCTTTAAGATTGTTCAGTCTATTTCTTTCAATTCATGTATCTATGTATTGCTTAAAAAGTTTGCACCTTTTTCAGTATTTTTCCAACTTATGTAACCATCAAAATGTTGGCTTCTTCTAGGGTCTTCCAGCCTTCTATAATCAAGATGGACATCTCATCCTTCTGCTGCATGGGTGCACAGGACATTTCTCTACCCTTTTTCTACCTAAAACACCAAGCATATACTTCTGCACAAATTTTCAATTAAAGATCTGTTCAATTAAAGGCTGAAACCTTGTGTCAAAATCATGGATAATTACTGAGTCCTTATACTTTTAAATTTTTATTATTTTCTGGCTGTGCTTCTTCGAGCTTCTGTTGTACTGTACATCTTTAACTTTGCTCATTCCCAGTTTAAATACATTCTGATGATTTCCTGATTCTGTAAGCCTGTCTAAATTTTCTTTCTGGCTCTTTCATGGTTGCATCCAGTTGCATGTCATGTAAAAGTCAACGATGACAATGCTCACTGTGAGAGGTGAGAACTCACTTTTTTGCACTCCTTTTTCCAGATTCAGCCATTTTTCATAAAGTTGGTAAACACCGAAAGAACTGCGGTTGCTGTGAATCAGGAACACAAACAAAGTTAACATTTCGGGTCCGGACCAGAAATGTTAACTCTGTTTTTTCCCTTCACAGATGTTGCCAGACATGCTGAGCTTTTCCAGCAACTTTGTTTTTGTTCCATAAAGTTGGTTTGTTTTCTCTTATAGATCTCTACCGTTAACTTCGAAAGATTTCAGTTGCTTCTTGTTGAGCCTCCTTCTCTAAGGCCTCTACATTCTCTGAATATAGTTGGCTTTTCTTTCTCTTTTCCTAGCCCTTACTCTTGTCCTAGTGCTTCTTAATAGTATTTGAATGAAGTTTTTTCTCTGGAGTGCTGACTTTGCCTTTTTGTTGCATGGGTGACTGTTGTAATCTCTGTCCTTTGATAATCATGTTTCAGCTGTTGCTTGACTGTTTCCAATTTTTATTTTCTTCTGGGTCTTTTGGATATTGCCTCCTGATGGCCGTGGTCAGATTGACACCACTCCAACGTTTGGTACTTTCCCTTCAGTACTCCTGGTACCTTTTTTTATTTGCCACTTCTACCAGTATCAAGCACTGAATAAGTCTTGTTTAAGAGAGTTCACTGACATTTTTCCTTCTTAATCTTTGCTTCGTCTTGGTCTACCCAGCGATTAGTGTGAGATCATTTCCTTATACCAATATCCTGGGGTTACCATTGACCAGAAAGTGAACTGGTCTAGCCACATAAATACTGTGTTTTGCAAGAGCTGGTCAGAGGCTAGGATTACTGCAGTGACACTGCTATACTCCCAAAGCCTGTCCACCACCTTTAAAGCACACATCGGGCATGTGATAGCATATTCCCCACTTGCTTGGATGAGTGCAGCTCTATCAACACTTAAGAAGCTTGACATTATTCAGGGCAAAGCAACCTACCTCATTGGCACCACATCCATAACATTGACTCCCTCCACCATCAATGCTAAGTAGCAGCAGTGTGTGCTATCTGCAAGACGTACTGCTGATATTCAGCAAAGCTCCTTGCAAATCCACAACCACTTCCATTTAGAAAGTTAAGGGCAGCAGATACGTGAAAACACCACCAACTGCAATTTCGGTTCTTCCAGTGAGATGGCAGCAGAGTAGGAC